TGTGAATCATAATGTTCTGCTGAAAATAATGTGGGACAGGACTTTTAAGTTAATTAGAATTTGAGTTATACAGTGGATGGATTTTTTAGGTCAGTTTTTGCTATTTTTCTTCAAATGTAATTTCAGAGGTGGAAAATTATAATTATTAGCAACTCATCAGAATATTAAACAACGTAATACAATGTAACATATTTTCTATAATAAGTGCTAAGATTTTGATGTGTAATAATAATAAGAAAATATTTTTATTTTAGATTAATGTCATTGTGATGAATTGTGTGCAATAAGAACAAGAACATTTAATCTGGAAAGCTATGGCCAATATTGATTTCTTGAATTACATCCTTCAACATTGAAATTAAAATGCTCTCATCATTTACTTACTCTTGTTATGTAACAGATGTAAACGACCTTCTTGGAACACAAACTGATTTTCAGAAAAACCACGCATTTCTGTGCGTTCTTATAATGCAAGTTCAAGGGTCCCTCAAAGTTGACACTAAAACTACAATCTACAAGCTTAGCTGATAAATCAGCATTAAGTCTTTAATGCTTTGAACTTTTTTTTAACTACAAACCATTGCTTTTGTTCTGTTTTGTGTGTGAAAGCACAGAGGACTCTCACTTCTTGCATAAGTTTAGCATTATGTCAAACATTAACTTTGAAAATATTAGTATTTTTCTCACACACTTCAGCTGAGGTTGTTCTTTTGCGTGGTTTTTGAAGCGTCAATTTTGAGGTACCCATCCAGTTCATGTTACGTACTTACTGAGATGGATTCTTTTTCTAAAAATCTCTGTTTGTGTTCCACAGAAAAAAGAAAGTCATATACATCTGGGTCTGCATGAGGATGAGTAACTGATAAGAGAATTAAAATTTTGGGGTGAAGCATGCCTTTAAGGTTGGATAATGTTTGAATAAATTTAGTTAGTTGTCTGAATGAGTTCAAACTCAAAACCTGTTTTTCTTCCCCAGGTATGTGTTCTGGGCAGATAGTGCAGCGTCTCCCAGAATTGAGCGTGCCAGTTTGGATGGGACAAGCAGAATAGCACTGATAACTTCATCTATACGTTCTCCTGTCGCAATCTCTTTAGGTTAGACTTCTCATAAGCAATTAAGTTGTGTAATCCAGCTTGCTTTTTTCATTACATCATTTAGTGTATAAAGGTTTTATGCAAATTATACCAAACTCATCCTTAAATTAATGCATGGATCATACACCTTGAAAACAAAGTAAGGAAAAATTAGAAAATAATGCACACCGAGGTGGTGGTGACGCGAAGAGAAGTGACCGTTATACCTCAGTAGTGCATTATTTTCTAATAATTCAAAGGACCGGAGTCAATCATTCCACATGTACTACAGTAGCTACTCCTAAAGACATTGTTCAATGTTGTAATTCATGACATTTGTCTGGTTTTTGTCCTTAAAATGCTCTTGCATGTAGGACTAATTTCTTACACATCTCATCCAACGCCTCTGTTGCTAATTCCAAAACGTCATTTTCTATCATCTAATAACGGATGCTTGAGCCGTTGAAAACGTTAAATAAAGTTATTTAGCGTGTATGAATTACCTGAGTTAAAGGGACTTCGAGTCTCTGTGTCTCTCGGCTCCACATCTCTACTAATACCGAAACCTAAGTTCATCTGCTCCAACAACAGCGCTGTTATTACCTCGCTAGTGAGAAAAGTCATGTAGCTTTTAAGTTGCTAAACTATTTTACTGAGTACTGTATGTGTGTGCATTTGAGTGGGAGAGAGAGCAGGATAAAGAGAGTATGTGCTTTCCATAGATAATAAAATATGGAAATAATTAGTATTATTTATCCTGTTGGTTACTGAAATCATTTGGCAAAGTGATATGGACATGTAAAGCGATCAAGACCTGCCTGGAACTACTTTAGCCATGTTTCCCTGAAAATTGCACACCTTAGAATGTTCGTCAACCAATCAGATTCAAGCATTCAAAAGCCTTGTAGTATAAGAGTTAGATAAAAGAATAATAATGTCAAATCACTGAGTCATCTTTACTTTTATAGCACTTTATACTATAGAGGTTTCAAAGCAGCTTCACCGTATTGAACAGGGAAAACTATCAGAGTAAATTATGCAAGCTTCAGAAATGAGGCAAATCCAGATTCTGCTGGTAACTGCAGCAAGACAATAGTGTCATTATTCAGCTCCAGTCAGTTCAGTGTTGATTTACTGTAGCTGAGTTCAATAACGGCGTTATCTGTGTTTGTTAAGGTTGGTCAATAAGCAAAGGGGTAAAAAGTTAATAAATAAACCCATTGATATATTTTTTCTTTGCTCATTTAGATATCCCTCGTGGTCTGCTGTACTGGGCTGACTCTGGTCTGCGCATAATATCAAGGGTTGCATTTGATGGGCAACATAGAAAGACAGTTGTAGAGTCCAACGGATATCTAGATCAACCATTTGGACTGGCCGTATTTGAGGTACATAACACAATGCATGTCACTTTTCCTCAATCTGTATAATTATTTCCTTACCAATGACCATAGTTAATTTTTTTATAAAATGTGTGTGTGTATGTGTATATATATATATATATATATATATATTATACACACATACACACACACACACACACACACACACTAGGGGTTGCACCGACTATTCGACTTCAATGCTCTGCCATGACGCTTTAAACTTGACGTCAACTAGTCGCTGGTCCTATAGAGGGTGCAACAGGATAAGAAATCTTTGAAGGACTTCGACATTTACATTCCGTTTCCAAACAGTTCAAATGACAAATAAATGCATACTCTGAAAGTGCTCCACAAGACATGTGTGATTATATTACTGGATGCTCGAAATTGAATGGGAGAATGCACGTTTTAAACGGCTTATTGTACAGGTAAGTTAATTGCCGTTCTAATCTAATGTGCTGCTGCACTGTAACGCACACACATTACAGACAGTAGCGCGTACATCACGCACACAGAGTCATTCAGCGCGGAAATTTATTGTCAACACTGTTCTGTGATTTCTCAATAAAATAGCTTAGAAACGGAATAGTTCAAGCATATATTTCTTAATAACTAAATTACACAGCTTCACTACTAGTAGAGAGATGCTGCCAGGTAGAATTAATTCACTCACTCTCACTAATGCATTCATATTAAAAAGTATGATGGCGCCGACGGTGATATATTTTTTGGCGTACGATGGCGCCGACGGTGATGGCTGCCTCCGTGGCGTGCTCCGCAGTTGTTTTTATGTTTTTGTTAGTTTGTCCTGTCTTTAGTTATATCCCTGCAATCAGTTCACCAGAGACAAATTGCTGGACATTCGGCAGTACACTCCACCCGATATTTCACCAGTTTTCGACTATTCTGATGTTTTGCTGGACATTGTAGTTGGGGGAGCTGTGGCGCTGATCAAGCGCTTAAGGACGCACAGACGGGGGAAGCGAGCCGGCGCGCTAGTCAAGCTCAGACAGCGCGGATTCAGAACGCTGTTGCCGAGCATCCATCTGGCGAACCTCCGCTCTCTACCCAACAAAACGGACAAACTCCTTCTGCTCTCCCAGACAAATAAGGATTTTTCAAACTCTGCTGCTCTGTGTTTCTCGGAAACCTGGCTGAAAGACGCCATTCCGGACAGCGCGTTGAGTCTCCCGGGCTTTCAACTGTTCAGAGCAGATCGCGACGCAGAATCAACGGGGAAATGGCGCTGCGGCGGGACATGCTTTTACATCAATGAGAGGTGGTGTACAGATGTAACTGTGTTAAAGAAGATGTGCTGTTCAGATCTAGAAGTGCTCTTCATTAACTGTAAGCCGTTCTACTCGCCGCGGGAGTTTTGTTCGTTCATTCTCGTCAGTGTGTACATTCCTCCGCAAGCACACGTGAGCTCAGCTTTACAGAAACTCGCTGATCAGATCACAGACACAGAACAACAACACCCGGACTCTGTTTTAATCATTCTCGGGGACTTTAATAAAGCCAATCTCTCCCGTGAACTGCCAAAATACAGACAGCACATCACATGTCCCACCCGAGACAGTAATATATTGGATCACTGTTACACCACAATAAAGAATGCATATCACTCTGTCCCACGAGCAGCTTTGGGGCTCTCTGATCACTGCTTAGTTCATCTTATACCGACCTACAGGCAAAAACTGAAATCAGCTAAACCTGTATTAAGGACTGTAAAAAGATGGACTAATGAAGCAGAGCAGGATTTACAAGCTTGTTTTGACCTCACTGATTGGAGCGTCTTTGAAGCTGCTGCCACCGATCTGGACGAGCTCACAGAGACTGTAACATCTTATATCAGTTTCTGTGAAGACATGTGCATTCCTACCAGGACTCACTTAACTTACAACAATGACAAACCATGGTTCACTGCAAAACTCAGACAGCTCCGTCAGGCCAAAGAAGATGCTCACAGGAAGGGGGATAATGTCTTGTATAAACAGGCTAAATACACACTGGAAAAGGAGATCAGAGTGGCAAAGAGGAATTATTCAGAAAAAATAAGGATTAAATTCTCTTCCAGTGACTCGGCATCAGTGTGGAAAAGTCTAAAAGAAATCACCAATTACAAGACACCATCCCCCAGCACTGCGGAGAATCAACACCTGGCAGACGATCTGAACGAGTTCTACTGCAGGTTTGAAAACCCACCCCCCCCCCGCCCTGAACCCCTCTCCACACAACCATTCACACCCCCAGCAACCCCCCTCTCCCCCACACCTGCAATTCAGATCAGCGAAGAAGAGGTGAGCCAGGTCTTCCGGAAGCAGAAAAGGAGAAAAGCACCAGGCCCAGACTGTGTTACACCAGCCTGTCTGAAATCCTGTGCTGACCAGCTGGCCCCCATCTTCACACAGATCTTCAACAGATCACTGGAGCTGTGCGAAGTCCCTTCATGCTTCAAACGCTCCACCATCATCCCCGTCCCAAAGAAACCCAAAATTACTGGACTTAATGACTACAGACCTGTGGCTCTAACGTCTGTGGTCATGAAGTCTTTTGAAAGACTGGTGCTGGCCCACCTGAAGGACATCACTGGACCCTTGCTGGATCCTCTTCAGTTTGCCTACAGAGCAAACAGGTCTGTGGACGATGCAGTAAACATGGGACTGCATTATGTTCTGCAACATCTAGACAGACCAGGGACTTATGTGAGGATCCTGTTCGTGGACTTCAGCTCGGCCTTTAACACTATCATCCAAAACCTCCTCCTGCCAAAACTAACTCAGCTCTCGTGCCCACTTCCGTCTGTCAGTGGATCAACAGCTTCCTGACAGACAGGCAGCAGCTAGTGAGGCTGGGAAAATACACATCCAGCTCCCGTATGATCAGCACTGGAGCTCCTCAGGGCTGCGTTCTCTCCCCGCTGCTCTTCTCCCTGTACACCAACGACTGTACATCTAAAGACCCCTCTGTCAAGCTCCTGAAATTTACAGACGACACCACACTCATCGGCCTCATTCAGGACGGTGACGAGTCTGCTTACAGACAGGAGGTCGAGCAGCTGGCTGTCTGGTGCAGTCTCAACAACTTGGAGCTCAACACGCTCAAAACAGTGGAGATGACCATG